TATTAATATTTGTTGACTAAGTTCATATATTTTTAATAGTTATTGTACTTTTGTAATTATTGTAATTTCTCATTATCAATATATTTTCAATAATTGTGTGTTTTCGCTATAAATTTTTAATATTTATTGGAGATTAAACTATTGTTATTTATCGGAGATAAGACTATTAATTTAGCTAAAATTATGAGTGTTCATAAGTTGGTTCAGACCGGTCGTATACTATTTGGCCAACCAAATTGACCTGGTCAGGTTGGGGAGTTGGTCAGCTAAAGCTGATTGACCATTTGTGAAAATCGACCCACTCAACTTGTATCGGTTTGGGTCGGTTTTCACAAAAGGTCAATTGGTTCAAAAGATTTAAACTTAAAAATTTAATTTAATTTTAAAAATTATAATGCAATTGTAGCTACATGGTGGTCACTAAGACCATCAAAATAGAGGAGGTGTCAAACTAATACTATGTGAATGCCTATAATGAGTCCATAAGTCATTGCTCATCTGTGATGAGTTTATAATTCATCACACATTTGTGATGAACTCATAGCTGAAACAGGTTGTAATGAACTTTGGACCTGTGTGGACTTACGATAAGTTTAAATCCATTGCAGAACTGCGATGAGCTACGGACTTGTGATGAGTTTGAAGTCATCACAGAATCGCGATAAGCGTAGACTCCCATAGATCAGAAACAAATAATAAAAACATGAGCGTCATTAAATAACGCGCATGACGGGACACCCCATGAGCCTAATGAGGGTGCACAAGTTAAATAGTGACGTCACCCATGCCACGTCTTTTTAAAAGGGCCACAAAATGAAGTAGCACAGAAGACACGTGGTGAAACCCTAGCAGTGTTACCTAACAACTGGCACCAAATCCAAGATTCCCTTTCCTAATAGGAACCAAACACTTTTGGCTCCTTCCTTTCGGGACTTCAAGATCCCTCTTTATAAATATGGGTCCAATTCATAAAGAGATAATCATTCTATCACCTCATTTGCCCTAGCCTTTAGCCTACCTCCTACACTCAGCTTTCCTTTCTCCTTTAAGGAGACTCCCGTACGTAGCCTTAACCACCTTACTCACAACAATTATTAAAAAATAAATTTAAAAATTAGATTTATGAAATGAAACATTTTAGACTAAGAAATATGGGAAATTTATCACTTTTTCATATTAAAAATTACTTTTAAAATATGAAATATATATAATATCCATGGTTAGGTCATTCAATTTTGGTCGGTTTACAAATGGCCAAAGTGAAACTGATCCAACTTGGTCGAATTGGAAATTTTTTTAACCAAAACCGACATAAAATACTAGAAAACCAACCAACTCGGGTCAAGTTGATCGGGTTGGCCGATTTTATAAGTTTGATGAATAAACCTAACTAAAATTAATTATTGTTATTTTTGTATTATAAGAAAATATTAAAAGTAGTATATAAAATATGAATAATCATTAATTATTTAAAAAGTTGAAAGTATAAAACAATTGTATACTCTTATGTGTTTCTATTAGGGTCATTTACTAGAACACACCTTATAGTTTTACATATTTACTTAAACCTACCTTATAGTTTTCATTATACTAAAATATCTCATATATTTTACAATTTGTTTAGTTAATAAACCTTTCATTAAGGAGTGTTTGTTTTTCCATTAGGTCCATGATTTTTTATTCCAAAAAATACTCTTAACACTTTTTTATACAAAAAACAAAATTGGCCAAATATAGCCAATAGAGTGGTTGCTCGTGTCTTATTAAGGGCAAAATGGTATTTTATTTCTATTTTCTTTTGATTAAATTTATTTCAATGAACATTAGGGTCAACATTATCATTTTCCACTATCATCTAATGGAAGATTGATTAAATCCGTTGCAAATTATAAGTGATGTTTTAGTGAAATGCTAACTATGGGGTAGATTTTTAGTAAATCCATGAAATTATAAGGGTATTTTAGTAAATAACCTTTTCTCTTATTTATTTTTTGCTTAATAAATCCCGTGCATCGCATGGGTCTCCACTAGTAAATTATTACTACTACTACTACTACTAAATTTTGTGCTCTATTTCTGACTTAAATAAAAATAATTTTTATTTTAACAATTATTTTTATTTAATATGATGATTATATAACATTAGAAATGCTCCGAAATGTCTAACAAAACTTTGTACTTTTTTATTTTTTGTTTCAATATTTCTTAAATATTTATTATTCAATCATGACATGATGAATTTCTTTGAAAAGTTGGACCATTGACCCATCTTTTAGATAAGAAAATAGCTTTGCTTTTGTACCAGTTTTAAATTATATATTTCATCTACTTTACATAAATAATTTTTAATTATCAAACTTAATTTTTGCTTAACATAATTAATATATATTTTATATATTCTTTTGATTACCCAAAAAAAATGTTTGATTTCTAGGTTGACATTAAATTTTGTATTACATTTCCATTATTGATAAAATTATATCTTATATATAATATTTATTTTTGTTCAATATAATAAATGTATAATATTATAGATGTACCCAATATTTTATTTATTATAAATATATAACATTATATCTTATGTACAAAATTTATTCTTGTGATTCTTTGTATTTTCTGTTTTTAAATTTTTTATTATTTGACTATGACATCATTTCATTTCTAGGTTGATTTTAATTTTGGCATTCCATTTTCATCATTTATAAAAATACTTGTTACATTTAATACTTATTATTGTCCGGTATAATGAATATGCAATATTAGTGGTGTGCCCAAATTTCTTATTTTTTTGTATTATATAATTTATTTATTTTATTTTTTATTATTTAATTATGACATTATTTATTAATGCATTTGACCCCAAATGGTTGAATTGCTTATCCACCACCAATAGGGAAGAAAATGATTTTTGTTTTCAAATTATTTTTCAAAATATTTATTTTTATATTATTAAAATTAATGTTGTGGATTTAATTAGTAGAATTTAATAATGAGAAAATATATCTTAAATATAGGATTTAATAAGAAAATATACCTTAGATATGCGATTTAATGAGAGATAATAGGAAAATAGTTTTACTTTCAATTGGTTTTAAATTTTACATTCCATTTCCATCATTAATAAAAAACATTTCTTATTTATCATCAATGTTTTCAACATGTTGACCTGACCGATTGAACCATCACTCGGCCTTGATCATGGGTTTGGTTTTGTTAAAACTTCCCTTTTCAATTAAAAGTCGTCTAAACCAAGCAATTCAACGACTGTCCTATTTGACCCGGTAACCAGGTTGCAGGTTGTGCACTTAATTATGTGCAAACTTTTGAAAGCCATAACTTTGCACTCTGATGTTTGATTAGGTGCCTTGCCTTGCTATTTTCGTGAAAAATCCCTTTTTTGGCCCCAAATTGTAATTTTAATATTTTTGTAATAAAAAAAATAAAATCTGAATTAAAAAATATAAATAAATGTTAAATAATACATATATAATATGTAATATATGTAAAATATAACTATAATATATGTAAAACATAATTATTCTATTTATTGATAAAATATGTATTTTTACACACACACATATAGTGTTGACATAGAGCAGTTTAACTTGTTTGACCTTGATAATCAAACCGATGACCTGTGACCTGAAGGTAAAAGCGGGTCGACCTCCAGGTCATACTTATCATTTTTATAAGTATGATAAACATTGTTTATCATACTTATTATATGATGTTAAAAATGTTCTCATTTTTTTTTATTTTTATATTTTTGAATTTTATTATTTAATTGTAACAAAATGAATTGGCCCATTTGACCCAAATGGTTTTATTTCTTACCACCACCTAGATGAAAACACTATTTTTTTTCTAGGTAGATATTAAAAATCTAAGTTTTTTTATGTTATTGAAATTATTAATTTTATTTAATTATAGAATTTAATGATGAGAAAAAACAAAAAAGCCTTAAATATATGATTCAATGAAGATGAATGCAAATTTATACCTTAAGTGCTAGATTCAATGAGAAAATTGAATACATTGAAAATCTTAAAATTACCTCTTTTCAACTCATTTAATATCAATAACCAACTACTCTATTTGCCCTCATTTTTTATCGATAAATTTAAATATAAAGGGAGTAAGTTTTGTCCTCAGAAAATTCCAAAAACATTGTTGAAGCTATTCATACTTTTTAAAGTAGTATAGATATATCAGTCACATGTGAACAGAGTGTGACGGAAAGTTGACGATTAAGGGACATTTTAAATAATTGTCAGAAAAATTAAGAGTAATTTAAGACTATCTAAACCTCTAAACAATAAGAGTGAATCAGTCAATTAGCTAAACCACAAGGGTACTTTAAAATATTTGCCCTTCTCTCTCTCTCCCCTTATAGATTTTCTTTTCAGTAATAATACTGGAATTACGTCTATAGCACCCAATAAGAGGATCATAGCATGGATCTGAGGATTATTATCAAAAAAATAAAAAAAAAAAAAGAAAAGCATGCCAAGTTGGGGACATTGAACAAATTCTTTTTTCTACGAGATTTAAGAAATAATCATTATCAAAATTCAAAAGCACACCAGGAATTGACCCGATAACTGACATGACAACTACCTCTTCAGGCACAAAGGCCAAAAGCAAAAGAAGGCATACGGCATAACGATAGAGAATCAGGGCACCTTAAAAAGAACAATTGCAAAAGACCAATATAGGGTAGAAAAACAGAATAATTGCTCTTATGGTTCAACATTTCTTTGGTTTACATAAACAACCGAAATTTACCATAAAAATGTTGTATTGAACAAGAGCCCTAATTTCCTCTTGGCCAGTTACATGGTAAAAGTTATTGGAATACAAACCAGAATTTCATTCACCCACTAAATATAACTTTTTCTTGCAATCTCGGTAAACATACAATATGCTGCATACAAATATACATGACACACTAATCTACGATTGATGCAAACTTCTGTTAATCTCTGTGATCGAAGGGTAAATCAGACAGAATTTCAAAAATGTACATATATGTCAAGTTGTCTCTCTTATCCAGTTGAACAGCTATATAAGAATAAATAGATGGAAAAAAAGACCCAAGGAAATTCATACAACAAGAGTACAATTTAATAATGCACTTCTCAAGTTCAAAACGAGGTGAGTCTCTCTTATCCATTTTACTCAAAACGTTTTATTTCTAGATGTACAAGTAGAAAAATAAGCTCAAAGCTTTCACATGGACGTGATATTGATAGAATGCAGCTCATTTTCCTCTTTGATCTGGTATTAGCCACTCATTCACTGCAAAAATAGACGATGAAATTGTCTTTCTTCTTTAATCTCACTAAACATTAAGTTGAAATGCTATGGCTCCTCATCTAGTTTTTGTACCTGAGAAGCATCTCGGAGAGATGTCCAAGAATCAATTGGAGCACAACACTTTGACTCGAAGTCATGACATCCTGAAGACGCAAGGCAACACAACTGATTAAACAAACTTCACATATATCACGACCCATCTTTAATGCTCAGGATATGCATACAAAGGTTAATGGCTTGTGCTTAGTGATCAGCTCAGACACACTTCACGTCCCTGATAATCCATATATCCTCAGTAAACAAGTTTCTTGCACCAATGAAGAATGCTGAAAAGTTTTGGCTCAAGAATGTTCTTAACTGTTCGTTTCCTTCGTTTTGCTTCTTCAAGATCAAGAGTTCTATATGCAAGAGCAAGCAAATACATTGCAGGATGGAGTCTCCTACACATAAGAAGGAATCATGACTTGGGAACACATTAATAATCATTAGCATTCCAATTAGTATCGAAGAAAATCCTATATCTTCTACTTATAATTAGATTAATCACTGGATACCAACAAGATGTTTGTAGATTGACCAGAATGATATGCCCAGTTGCCCACTTAGATCAATGTTTAGACAACATTTGCAAGCACCTGAAGACTTTCGTTACGTGAAATGCATAAAAAAAATCATAGCTAAAACCAACATGGATCTCAACCCAAAGCAAAAGACTGAACTGTCTAAACTCTGTAACTCTGGCATCCTGAAGTTGACGTGTCAAAAGTTAAAAGTTAGAACTTGTTTGACTTGTCTTTGTTGTCATTACATGAGGTTATCTATTACCTATACAACATGTCAGGATTCCATAATATGGACCTGAATTGGGAAAGGTATGGCTGATTTATTGATAGCTAATGTTTTAACTATGCCATTTTCTACTTTTTGGGTTACTGGGGTGTTGAATTATAACATTGCGGATAGGTATAAAAAGTTTTGCTTTCTTTCTAAAAGTTATTGTCAAACTTATAATGGATCAAAACTGTTTTTTAACGGAAAAAAAAAAGACTTTTTGGAGATTTTAGTTTAAGGAAACAAATCCATACACAAGTCCAGAGTATTGTTGCGGAAGGGGATTGTAAATTTTGGAATAACTTTTTCATTGTCTTCTTATTTGGTGTTGATGTCAGACCCTTTGGAGGTGAGATGCAACCTTTATAGGTGAAACATTACTCATACTGACTCTAGACCAAAAGTTTATTTTGAATTTTTGACTTGATGAACCAGCCTTAAGCCCTATAACTTTCCACCCTAGATAGAGCCTGATTATTTCCTAAAGTGATTCTTAACATTCTCTATGGAGACTGCATTGTTGCCTGTTGGTGATTGTTACCTGCATCACCTTAACAATGGAAGAAGAGAATGTTGAGCAATCACTGAACCAAGCATACCTAAAATGACAGTAGCCAAGGAGAGGATCTTGAAATGTAGAGTGAGACGACCAGAGGCCATGAATTAAAAGTGAATTATTTTATGCAAACCAAATGGTAGCCTCAGCAGGCAACAAGATGAGGTTAGGCTGACTGACATGGTTGGGTCATTGACATAGAAGACATATGTTATACCATTGAGGAGTGATGATATGAAATGGTGCTAGCTGCTAGTTGAAAACTCTAAAAGGGACGAGGCGAATGCTGAAAAAGGGAATGGGTTGAAATAATAAGAACAGAATTCAATCACTAACAAATGTGTCAGAAAATATGACTCTCTAAAGACTGGAAGTTGTAAGTTCCTACCAGTAAATCCAGAAAAATTAAAGCAATGTTTAAACATGTTCTAACAATAATACTTACTTTTCAGGTAGTTCAGTTGTATCAAAGCCATGCCACAGTCTTTGGGAAGGTACTGTCCTCCCTTTCTTATCTCGTCCAAATGTTTCAACATACCAACCACCAATGTCATGCATGCTGCAGCGAGGTTCAAACAGCCAAAATCTGCAGAAAGAACATTTTCCAGTTTTTTTTTTTTTTTTTGAAACAGGTAAAGTAACTAAGAACATTTGCCAGTTTAAAACATAAGAATTATAGTAACCAAGAATTCTAAAAGACTCATGTTGAGAATGGCTAGACGGGTGTTTTTGGTTTTTTCTCCTTTCTTATACTCTCTCAGTATTTGGGCACCCATATAGGGGAATTCTTGTAATTATTATTTTCTCAGATTATAATGTATTTCTTTTGAGGGTGTGAACAGTGAAAACACACACCTCTCAGACACTTGCTCTCTTCTTCCCCTTCTCTTCTCTTCTCTTCTCTTCTTCCTCTCTCTTGAAACCCTAGTTTCTACAACTTGGTATCAGAGCGGGTAGAAGCATCTGGGAGTTGTTCTCTGCTGATATCCTACCCAAAGGCGAACTGCTGACGTCAGACCGCCGCCGGATGACGTCAGCAGTCCGTACAGGTGCTGACGACAGTCTATGAAACCAGCACAATTTGATTCGCCCTGATTTTAGAAAAATTTTGGTATTACTCTTGTCATCATATGAAGCTTCTATGATTTTTGGTGGATTTTTAAAGGAAAAAATCACAGAAATTCTAGATCTGATGTCAAGCCATGTACAGCAGGTTTAATGATATTTTTCTGCTGTAAAACCTAGACCATTCAGGTCGTTTTTCAATTTGGGATTGACAGGAAGTGGTCCCGTAATTTTTTGAGCACTGTGTGATTTTTGGGAGATTTTTTTCTCCTCTTATTTTTCTGCCAACCTAGATTTTTCGGGCTTCCTTTGGTTCTTAACTGTGTGGTAACCTGGTTTTTGGGTCTAGAACCTCGATTAAAGTGTTGGGGGTCCGTTTTGGTTGGTGAAAAGGTGTCTTAGAATATGGAATCATCTAAGGATTTTCAGATGGTTCCCGGCATGCTCTTGGCTGCAGATATTTCCAATGGTATGATAACTATTGTTAAACTGGATGGAACTAATTTTTTAGAGTGGTCTTAGTCTACTAAACTTACCATTACTGGGAGGGGTAAATTGGGATTCATGGCTGATTAGCTCAATGCAACCTCATTTTGCCCGAAATTACATGTTTCTTCCATCTGCCAAAGATATCTGGGATAGGGTGGTTGGTACTTATTCCCAAGTTAACGATACTGCTAGAGTGTATCAGCTTCGGAGGGAAGTTTGCAATATGCATCAAGGGGAGAGATCTGTTGCTATGTATTTCTCTTCTCTACAGTCTATTTAGGAAGAAATGGATCACTTGAAATCTCTAGTTTGGAAGGACCCTAAAGATGGTGAGCAGTATCGGAAGTACATAGAGGAGAATAGAGTCTTTGATTTTTTGGCAGGTTTAAACCCAAAGTTTGATTTCACCAGGCAACACATTCTTAGTGCAGGTGTTGTCTCTCTTGCTACTGCTTACTCTCTTGCACAAGGGGAAGAAAGTCAAAGAGTCGCCATGATGCAATCCTCTGTAAGTGATCATTCTGCCTTTATGTCATCACGACCCAAGCAAAATACTAGCAAACATCCCATTGTAGAGAAGGCCAAGGATGTTATTTGTGAGTACTGCAAGAAGCCAAGACACTAAAGAAAGGGCAATGCTCACTTGGCTACAGTTGGTAATGATGCTCAGCCCTCAAATGTGCTTAACTCCTCCAATGTGATGGACAAACTCAAGAATATATTGTTGTACCTAGAGAAGCGTGGTACATCCTCCTCATCTGGTTCTGGACTTAGTAATCTATCTTGTTCATATGCCAAGACAAGTACTGCACTTGCTTGTTCCACCTCCTTTAGCCCATGGATTGTAGACTCTGGGGCCAGTGCCCATATAACTGGTATGCCTTCACATTTTACCTCATATGCCTTCACATTTGATTTTGTGTCCAAATTGAATTTTGAATGTGAAGTTTGCCATTTATCCAAACAATGTAGAAACACATATTTTGCAAGCAATAAAAGAAATAATGTTGCTTTCCACTTGATCCATACTGATGTTTGGGGCCCATATGCTATCCTTTGTATTGGGGGGTACAAATATTTCATTCTCTTCATTGATGACTACAGTCGGTATACATGGCTTTATTTGATGAAAAGTAGATATGAAGTTTCTATGATTGTTTAAAATTTCATGAATATGGTCGAAACACAATTTGAGAAAAGAGTTAAGATAATAAGATCTGACAATGCCAAGGAATACTTTGAACATCACTTGCATAGATTTCTTGAAGACAGGGGCACTATTCACCAAAGTTCATGTARTYATACTCCACAACAAAATGGGGTGGCTGAAAGAAAAAATAGGCATGTGGTTAAAGTCGCTCAAGGCTTATTGTTCCAAACTCATGTTCCAATTCATTTTTGGGGTGATGTTGTTGAGACAGCTGTATATCTCATTAACAAACTCCCATCAAGGGTCCTTAACCTTCATTCTCCTCATCAACTACTCTTCCCTGATGAACCTCCTTTTAATCTACCCCTTAAGGTCTTTGGTTGTGTTTGTTTTGTTCATGATATGAGTCCTTCCCGGCGCAAGTTTGATCCTAAATCGGTTAAGTGTATATTCCTTGGTTACTCTCTGGTCCAGAAAGGCTATAGATGCTTTGATGCTCTCTCTGGCAAGAGATATGTCTCTAAGGATGTCACATTTTTGGAATCCTCTTCCTTTTTCCAGTCACCTCGTCCTTTTCTTCAGGGGGAGAATGCAAGTAAAGATCAGACTCCCTTTTACCTTCCTGTTCCTACCTTTATTCCTTCATCTCTTCCTACCTCTATTCCTCCTCCTCCTCCTATGTATCGACCTCGGTCCTGGCAACTGTTTTTCATCAGGTGCAGTAAGAGGGTGGCTCCTGAAGCAGAATGGCCATCACAATCTGATTCCCCGGACTCAGATAATCTTGAACCTCCTGACAATCCTATTATTGATTCTAACCTTGATCTTCCTATTGCCATTCGAAAAGGGAAGAGGACATGTAGAAAGTATCCTATCACTAACTATGTGTCTTATGATGCTCTTTAACCTTCCTATTGTGCCTATATTTCTGCTATCTCTTCTGTTTCCATCCCTCGCAGTGTTACAGAGGCAATGCGGTGCCCCAACTGGAAGGAAGCTATGAACCAAGAAATGGAGGCCCTAATAAAGAACCAGACTTGGGAGGTTGTTCCTTACCCCAAAGATAAGATTCCTATTGGGTGTAAGTGGGTTTATATTGTTAAGCGCAAGGCAAATGGATCAATTGAAAGATACAAAGTTCGGCTTGTAGCCAAAGGATACACTTAGACTTGTGGCATTGATTATCTGGAAACCTTTGCTCCAGTTGCTAAAATAAAATCTATTCGTGTGATCATGTTTCTTGCCGCCCATTACTCGTGGCCTTTATATCAAATGGATGTAAAGAATGCCTTCCTTAATGGGGACTTACAAGAGGAAGTGTATATGGACTTACCACCTGGGGTAAGTTTCCTAACAGTGATGGAAAAGTGTGCCGCTTGAAGAAGTCTTTGTATAGGCTAAAACAATCTCCAAGAGCATGGTTTGACAGGTTCAGGAATGCCATCTTAAAGATTGGTTTTTCTCAATTTCAGGCTGACCACACCTTATTTATTAGAAGAGTTGATGGTAGAGTAACAATGTTGATAGTATATGTTGATGGCATTGTTGTGACAGGTGATGATATCATAGGTATCTCTCAGTTAAAGTCATCATTGCTTCTGAATTTGAGATTAAGGACCTTGGTGATCTCCGTTACTTTCTTGGCATTGAAGTTGCAAGATCCAAGAAGGGGATTTTTCTGTCATAAAGGAAATATGTACTTGATTTGCTTTATGAGGTTGGAAAATTAGGGTGTAAGCCTGTAGAAACTCCAATTAATCCCAACCACAAGTTGAATTCTATTGAAGGAGAAGTTCTTCCAGACAGGGGGGTATATCAGAGATTGGTGGGATGAATTCTATATCTTTGTTTGACTAGACCTGACATTTCCTATGTTGTTAGAGTAGTTAGCCAATATATGCATGAACCCAGGACATCTCATATGCAGGCAGTTAACAGAATTTTAGCCTACCTGAAAGGATGCCTTGGCAAAGGGATGTTGTATTCCAACCACAGCCATCTAAAAATTGAGGCTTACACAGATGCTAATTAGGCAGGGTCCATCGATTATAGAAGATCTACATCCGGTTATTATGCCTTAGTTTGAGGCAATGTGGTTTCTTGGAGAAGTAAGAAACAATCTATGGTTGCTCGTTCTAGTGTTGAGGCAGAGTACAGGGCAATGGCTCATGGAGTGTCTAAACTACTCTAGTTGAAGACCTTATTGACTAAGATGGGCATCCAAGCAGACGTTCCAATGAGACTATATTGTGACAATCAAGCAGCCATAAATATTGCTCACAATCCTGTCCAACATGATCGTACAAAGCATATTGAGGTGGATAGACACTTTATTAGAGAAAGAATTGCTAGTAGGGAGATTTGCCTTCCTTTGGTAAGGTCAGAAGACCAACTAGCTGATTGCCTCACTAAAGGTGTTCACCATCCAAAGTTTGCTAAGAACCTTGCCAAGCTGGGCATGATTGACATATATGCTTAGCTTGAGGGGGAGTGTTGAGAATGGCTAGACAGGGGTGTTTTTGTTTTTTTCTCCTTTTATATACTCTCAGTATTTGGGCACTCATATAGGGGCCTTCTTGTAACTATTATTTTCTCATATTATAATGTATTCTTTTGAGGGTGTGAACAGTGAAAACACACACCTCTCAACACTTGCTCTCTTCTTCCCCTTCTTCTTCTTCTCTTCTCTTCTCTTCTCTTCTTCCTCTCTCTTGAAACCCTAGTTTCTACAACTACTAAAGAAAGCATGTTAAATTCCAATGCATAATATTTATGGCTATCTACAATATCAAGTTGATCTTGAAAGTGTAATAAAAGTGCAAGGAGCAATTTGCGCCCGAGGTGCAAGGCGAGTTGCGTGCCTTTTGAAGCAAGGCGCCAAAATACAAAAAGTGCCAAAAAATAAAAAATGCAAACATAATATTAATAAAAAATATAAACTTAAATTTTAAAATAAATGATTTAAAAAGAATATTATCTAAAACTAAAATACATAAACATAACATGTAAAGTGTATTCAAATGAAAATTTACAAAATAAAGTCAAACATATAAAACATTTTCAAGCATGTAAAACCCACAATCTCTTTTTTCCTCTATTGCATTACTTCAAGTAGCTATTGTGATGTAAAAAATATTGCATTCCTAATTATGAGCTGCCTTTGTACCATTGCCCCTCAAAGCATTGAGGCAAGCCCAAACAAGTCCATTTTAGGGTCTTAAATTCATAATTCTCATACAAAAAATAATGGTTTTATAATTTTAATTGTCCTTTAAGAAGATATTTTATTAGGATGAATGAATGAACAACATTAGCAAATAGGGGGTACTTGAAGCTTCGGTGAGCAAGCGCAAAATTTAAAAAGGCGCACCAGGCGTATGCCTTTCGAAAGTGTTGCACCTAGGACTAGGGGTGGATTCGAGCCGAGCCAAGCCAAATATCTAGCTATTTGAGCTCAACTTGCCATTAAGTATGAGGCTCAAGCTCGAGCTTGATTCAAGCTAGAGACTTGAGCTCGAGTTCGGCTCGAGTCAAAAGCTCATAAGCTCAAGCTCGACTGTGAGCCAAATGTTTTATAAAAATAAAAAAATTAATACATAAAAATTATATTTTTTTATTTGACACTTAAAAAATTAAGAATTATAAAAACTAGTTATTATTGTTATATATAAAAAATAAAAATATTATATATAACATTTTTATTTTTTATTTATATATTATTTTCTATATGTGTAATATTTTTATATTTATTATTTTATATGCATAATATATATTATTTTCTATATGCCTAATAAAGCTCGCTTAAGCTTGTGAGCCTCGCGAGCCGAGCTTTATTAGGCTCGAGCTTCGCTCAAAGCTTTGTTTAATAGATTGAGCCAAGCTCAAATAGCTCATGAAAAGCTCGGCTCTGGCCACCCCTACCTAGGCAAGGCACATACCTTAAAATGCGTCTCGCCCGTACGCCTAGGTGCCAATGTTGTCAAAATGTTACTATTTATGATACAATTCACGATTTGAATCACGAATTCCAAGGGTTTCGATTCAAATCTTATGTCCGAATCCATAAGATTTTTGCTTGAATCCTACGATTTGGTTCATAAATCTTATGATTTATACGATTCAAATAAATTCAATTAAGAATTAGTTCTCTACTTTGTTATGCTTTGGTTTATATTTAGTTTTGTCAAGGGAAATTTTTTTAAATCCCTTACTAGAAAATGATTTATTTACATTATTTAAGACTAGAAATTGAGTTTATTTTCCATCATGTGTAGGTTAAAGCACCATTTTATCTGGATTTGTTTGACTTTCAAGTCAAACATGATTACATCATCTCAGGCTTCTATTGTATAAGTGGTAAATTCTATTATTTTAGATACATATAGATTAAAAATAGGGTAAAGTCACCTTCCAATATATATTTAGCCTTTAGTTATATCTATATTTAATTTTTTGACAAGTTTATAAAAAATAGAAATAATCTTACGATTTATGATACGATTCACGATTCGATTCAATTCAACTTTCTCTACGATTTACGATACGATTACGATTTTCAAAACATTGCTAGGCGTGGCTTTTAAATCACTGGTACAACTGGGCAACTTTACAACATAACTAAGTTTTCTGAAATATCTGCCAACACTATGGTTTTAAAAACCAACCCAGAAACTGAACCTCTTTGGCCACCAGTTCCTGGGTCAAATGGTCTGACCATCTGGTCCGAACCCCGGTTGGATGGTTTTGGGGTCCAAAATCGGACCTGGAGCCATGACCAATTCTTGGATCAACCGGTCCAACCATCCGGTCTGGTCCAGTTTTCAAAACCATGGCCAACACAATTGAGCCCACCTTGGATAAAATGAAAATGATAAACACCAAGGTTAAACAATTAAACTGAGTCGTTTTCATTCAAATGATTTTAACGCATTTCTTAATGTTTTTGGGGAATTGATCCGCCTACCTGCTAGGCGGTAACTGGGCTCTACTGCATCTACATTCGCAAACAGAAACATCATCTCTAACTTGATACCAATGCATATGCTTCACCTGAAACAGAATTTAAACTACAAAAGTATCAGAAAAAAAATCACTTGTTATAAACACATATCCAGACATTCACATGGAAACACATACAATATACATTTGCAGAAAAAGACACTACTGTAGTTTTTTGTTTTCTTTTTGTATGGTACTAAATCAGGTCACACAGAAATGGATTAATTGACAGCTGTTAAATATTTTTTTATGCTATCCAAGTGAGAAACCATTCACTAGTTTCGATCATTGCTAGCCAAGTCCATTGACCCACAAATTTGTGGGGTCTGGGCCAATGTTTTTTGTCCAGGTCATATATATGTGTTTCTTTAGGCCTAGAAAACCTGTGTGCCCACTCCAGACTTATAAAGAGGCCCTCATTCCACGTTCTAGGCCCATGGTTCACCATCCTTGCTTTGCCAGGCAAACAACCTATTTCTGTCACATGGAGAAATTCCATGGCTGATCCAACTTGCTCATTGAGGGTCAGCTATGTATTATTCCCTACACAGTCAACAATAGCCTCTATCCCACCTTGTATTGGAGTTCATAGAAGTTGACAAATTTCAGTATATTTCAATCTAAAAATATGCTTAAAGATGCTTACAAAGAAAGGCTTATTTTGGCAACATGGCAAGGAATTCTAAGTTCAAGATTTCCTAATAATAGGTAGAGAAGGCAAGCTGAACATATGATCCTTTTTGAGCTCCAACCATACTTCCACATCAAAGATTCCCAGGTCATTAAAATGACCTGACTAGCAGAGTCATCCCCTTGGGAATATACAGAGGTTCCAATTTTTTTGGACAAGGCCATTGTGACTCTGCCCCTGGTTTTGACAATTGACCCAATGCTGAACCAAGAAAGGCTCTCTAAAACCCATGCAAGAGAAGCAGATAACAATACAATGCCAAGTAAACAAGCATGATAAAAGGGACAGACATTGAAGGATAACAATTATACAAACCAGCAATGTTCTATGTTTCATAATCATGTGAGTTTTTGTACCGCTGTTATTGTAGACAGAACATGAGTCTTCCTCTGGACTGGTCCCCAATCCGATTATTGTTCCCAATAGAATCCCAGATCTAACTGAACTGCCTGAAAAGGAGTTCATTGAAGGAGTTTTGCTAGCATATATTGGATCTTCATGTGAATTAAGAAAAACATGTATCTGGTCTTGAGAATCTTCATCATGAATATCATTGTAAGACTTTTTAGGAGGAATTCTAGTAGCTACAGCAACCACTTTCCCTGAAATATGCAGTTCTAAGTCTTTGTAAACATCTGAATCACAGCCATTTTGATATCTGAATTGCATTTGTGGGTTCTCTTCCTTATCTGAAGATGGAGCATTCATCGAAAGCTGTGTATGGTTGACAGAATGACAAATCCCATATGACTTAGACATAGAAGAAGCTAACTTTACAGAATGAACATCTGATAATTCAGGAAACTTGTTGGGTATGCATACAATACCCAAAAGATCACGCCCTGAAACCAAATGGAGTACCTCAGGGGTTCCAGATGTAGACCTTTCCTCAGCTTCGAAACATTCTGGAAGAAAGTCCATTGACTCAATTATGGGGCCATAGTAAGCTGCATGAATGGCTGAATAAAATTCCCCCTCAAGTATGTCAAAATACCCCGATCCAGTTACCATCTTCTTCTGTAACAGAATGTCATTTATAGCAAACCTATACCATTTTAGCCATTCAACAACTTCCATATGCTTGGTTGTTGTTATATGAGTATCATACATGAACATAGCAGAACCTCTTTCCGGACGTTTTTGTAAAACCTCTCTCTGAGAGAATAGATACCTATCATAGCAAGCCCTCTTTTCAGAATCTGAAAGAATCTGCAATGGAACATTAACAAAAAAACGTTTATGTCAGAACTTCAATTTTATCCATGGTATACCATGAAATAGTGAATTACCAGTTCATATTCCCATGCCGTATGTGCATATGCATATATTCTCATTAATAAGATGAAAAGTCTTTCTAGGTAAAAGTTTGTCTAACCATCCATATTCTCATACACATGATTTTCTCTGTTATTTTTGGTGTATGTTTTACACAGTTGGAAGACAAAAAGATGTTTTATTCCTCACTAAAAATGCTCCAAGATGGTGCATATTGCATAATTAAGAAAACCAAATAAAAGTTGGGATACTTTTTAAATGATGAAATTTACATAGATAAAAATGTGAGTCAATGATAACTCAAAATACTGCTAATAATCATGTCAAAATCAATCAACTCTTTTTTCTCAAACATGAATTTTCATACTAAGAAGCTATGTGAGAGTGACCTTCATTTTGAGGGGACAGAGCAAGGACCATTTGGTGCATCGTTACACTGGGAACATGTAGGGAGTATAAAAGGAAAGAAACAGAGTCTCGAATGAAGTTTCTCCTCATAAAGATGAGCAAAAACCATTGCCTGAGACATACATCAATCTTGGGTGTATAGAAGAATAGAAAAGCCTTGAAGTTGAAGCATGGGAAAAACTCAAACAACTACATTGTTCCCCCCAGTCCACACCATTTCTTATCAAGATTGTGAAATCTGCTTACTTGATCTATTAACAGAAAAATCAGATTTTTTTTGGGGAGTTCTCATCTATTCAGGCAAAACTTGATGAAATTGCTCTATTTTTTAGAGATTATTCCATTTACATAGGAGTATAGGACACCCACATATGAGTCACTTCCTGACGGTTCTAAAATGCCAACATCCAACTGATCCAAGAAGCACGCTTCACTTTGAAGCAAGGCCGAGAAGCTAATTTCATAAACTCATGCATATGATAATCGATTGCCTCAAATTCAATTAGTCATTGGGTTCTCACCCAAGTCGTTTCATGCTCAATGCACATAGCAAATTCGCCCTTTTTTCACCTCCAAACACTTGTCTCACTTCCCCTCAGTAAAATACTTTCTAACAGAGTAATCCATAGATTCTCTAACTATTCTTATCCAAAAGAATGTTGTATCATTCCATACCCACTGCATAAGATAGGTTAATAACTATCTCAAGATGGAATCAAGATGAAACCTTTTACAATTTTAGAGCCGAAGTCAAGCGTACAATTATTAGAAAATAAAATTGGTGAAAAGAAAACAGGCAATGAAGAAAACAAGCATGCACCTTTATAGAAAATTAGAAACAGTACCTCATAAGCTGCAAGGATTTGGACGAATCGTTGGGAGGCTGTGGGATCGTTGTTGGAGCCAACAAGGTCCGGGTGGGTTTCTTTAGCCAATTTAAAGAAAGAAGCCTTCATTTCAGCTAAGGTACTGGTTTCTGAAACCCCCAACACGTCGTAAGCGTTCTTCCCCGAAAATTCCTTCGGTGTGGATGCTGTACTACTACTACTGAAACATTGTTTGGTACTACCACAAAAGAAGAGACAACATGCGTTGCTACAAAGTTTGTTGGATTTCAGAGAAATGGAAAGAATTGGATGGTAAAAGAATCCGAGCAAACTGGTTTCTGCGACACGCAGTGCCATTCTTGATTAATTACGATAAATCGGTTCTCCCTGCTGCAACGATTTGGGCTCCGGAAGAGAAGCCGTGGATACATTTTTCATCGTTTTGTGACTTCGAGACGAGGATCAACACTCAACAGATTACAGACACAAAACACACAGCACAGCGCACCTCACACCGTCCTCACAGTTAGGCCTGTAATCGGATCGAACTCGGAACGAATGTATATAAATCCGAGTTCGACTCGACAATAAAATTCTTCCATCCGAGTTAGGCTTCAGTCCGGGCAGAGTTGATGCGCGCATCGTTCGCGCAGCATGAATACGCGCCACGCGTCCTTAAAACGTGTGAGGTACTTCCCTCTCACCACCCTCTCGCCCATACCGAATGGAACCCACGCTACACGCTGATTCTCGAACTCGCATATATGGACCGGGCCGCTACGTCTCTCTCTCCTCTGTAGTCCCCATCCTCCCTCTCCCTCTCACTCCCGTCCAGGGTCAGGGTTCTACCTTTCAACTGGCTAGTGACTAGAGCAACCAGCAGCAACCTTCGTCTGGATATTGGCCATGGTTCTTTTTCTTCTTTTTAATCCTTGGTTTGGCCGTTACATCCCTTGAAAACTAAGGTATTCTTTTTTTTTTTAATTGTTCCAGAACCGGTAGAGTGGACAAGGTATGAGCCATTACTGGCGGTGATGGCATTCTTAACCATTACCAGTGACGAAGAACAGTAGGTAAGTTCGGTAATTCCCTTCTCTCTTCTTGTCTTCGACCACACCAATGACCTGGTCTTGTTTTTCCATGTTTGGTGGAGGTGGGTCTTCATGGGTCACTAGGAAATCAAGAGAATGGGAAAGAAACTCCGGAGGAGGTTCGCTGTCATGGAGGGTTGAGTTGCTACTGCTGTTGGGTTGTTGGTCGTAGTTGAGGTAAATAGAAGAGTTAAGAAGGTCAGTTGAATTGCAACTTGTTCCTATTCTAGTTGATGAAAAACAGTGTCCGTGAACCTGTTGATGAAACTAATATGGAATGAAGGTGGTCGCATCTTTCTTCTTAATTTACCGTTTTTTTGTTTCGTGTCTGCAAATATAATCTCCCTCACAGGAAAAGGGGAAACCTTTGTAAAAGCTTTTTGAACAGCGAGACACCACCCTACACGAGTGCAAGGTTTAAAAGGATGAAGGAGGAGCTAAGGCAGTGATAGGGGTGAGGCCTAAGCCTCAAGCAATAAATAAATAAATAAAAGTTTGTGGATAATTTATAAATAAGATAAAGCAAGATGTCCTTCAATTCAGCTATTTCAATTGTAATGAAATGTCCGCTTATTTACATTCTGAAGTTCTTAAGTCCTGAACCCAACTCTCTTTTTGTCCCTTTATTCTTTTGGATGGTCTAATTGATCGAGTTTTAATTTGTATTCAACTTGTTATGTGCTGGTTATTATAATTTATAGGTAAAATTTATATGTCCCACGAACCAAGTATAATTTTCTCTCAATTACTAAAATTTAAGGTGGGGATCTTCCACTTCGAAGATTTGGCATTACCAATTTCAATTTTTAATAAGAGAGTTTTTTTTTAGTTTTTACACTAACAAAGGTAACTCGCGATCCTTTCAACAGCCCCAAATACAACAACCCTGATTTAATTGAATTTAAGATTCTTCTCATCAACATTGCTAGAAAGACATCTTCTGTCTTTCAACTTTTGAATTATACTTTTTTTATATAATTTTTAGCAAGTTATTCGTTTAAAACCAAAACTTCAAAAGAAAAAAGTGTTGTGAAAGTTGATATTCATGGTTATTTTCTAGCTTTCAAGATACAGAAACTCTAAAAAAGTGACGGGTAATGAGAGTCCTAATCTTAAGCCACAATTGCAGATAAAAATGGCTTCAGCTCATTCGTATTTTTCACCAACTACAATATACATTATAGAAATCCACATCGCAATTGGCAAGTAAATAACGCCAAATCTTCAGAATGTACATTCTCAATTTCTCATAAACTTGTTTCTTAAGCTACAAATGAAATAGAATATAACTCTATCATTTAAACATCAAACAAATAAAAGAACCCTGCCATTGAGACTCTATGAAGCAAAAGCAAAACATATTCTCAACGTTGCCGGTTGCTCTGGTCACTAGCTGGTTGAAAGGTAGAACCCTGACCCTGGACGGGAGTGAGAGGGAGAGAGAGGATGAGGACTGCGGAGGAGAGAGAAACGTGGCGACCCGGTCCATGTATGCGAGTTCGAGAACCAACATGCAGCGTGGGTTCAATTCGGTATGGGCGAGAGGGAAATACCTCACACATTTTTATAATGCACACGTTTTAAGGACGCGTGGCACATATTCATGCTGCGCGAACGATGTACGCATCAACTCTGTCTGTACTGAAGCCGAACTCATTCGATCCAAATTCCAATTGGATGAATGGGAGGCCAATTCGAATTCGAATTCGATTGGATGTCTCGGATTTCGGATTTCATCCGTATGAAATTGACTAATTCTATTTAATGTCTTAAAAGTATTCTTAAATTTTCTTACATTTGTCTAAAATCTCTCTTACGATTAATTTTCCGTCATACTCTCTTAACATGTGACATCACGTAACTTATATAGTCCCTTTCTCGACATGTTCTTAGAAAAGCTTTTCGATCCCAATTTTTACAAACCTTTGGGTAGGGAGAGAGGATGATGTTCTTCTACGTCTAAGTTTGAGATTGGAAAAGGCAGCATCATCACCGACGGTAGAGAAGGTGGTGGTGGTATTGATATCGCCATTTCATCTTGTTTGGATAATTAGTTTTTAACAAACCTCAACTGAGGTAAAGTTGGTAGCCATGGAAAAGAAGGTGGAAATTCGCCATTACTTTGTAGGGTTTCGGGGAGATGCATCCGAAGGGATTCCTTCACTATTGCTTGAAAGTAAGGCAGATTGGGCATATCAGAGTCCAATACAAATCAAGTGGATTCCACAACGGAATCAATTAAAGAACTCACAATATCAGAATCCGACACAAATCAGTTCTTTCCGTCACCGTCTTCAATTGGTGAAGTTTTTCTAAGTCCCCTATGTTTGTAAATGGAATTTGCTACTGTATCAACTAATTATCGAGTCATACGACCAACAATACTGAAACATTGGAGTCCCCAGTCGTTCTTCAGGTGTAACTTTTCCTTTTCGGTGAAGGAAGAAAGGTGATGGTGGTGTCAGCTCTGCTATACTTAGGTGATGTTCGATAAATCTGATGTCTGAAGTCTGAAAAGCAAAAATACATCCAAAAAAGCTTTGAAAGCATTCATCGAAGATATTCTTTTCCACTTTTGAAGACATCTGAATATAATGGAGTTATTCAATAATATGAACGTTATAATGTTTGAAAATTGTGTATTTTACAAATTTACTCCTCAAAGTTGTTATTTAGATAAAAAATAAACAAAAATGATTAAAATACATATTAAAAGAGTAATAAAAAAGATTAATATTATAAAAACAATAAAAACTTTAAAAAATAAAAATTAATAAAATCATACTATTAAAAATAATAAAAAATAAGTATAAAATATTGTTATGAAAAATAATGTAAGATATAAAATTTTCCTTTATTATTTAAAAAGCATAAGATATCAAAATTTTCTTAATCAATAAGTAAAAGATATTAAATATACTATTAATGATAATTAAAATGTTACAATTATTTTAATAAAATAATTACACACCATAAAATAAGTACAAAAACATTATTAAATGGTAAATCAATAAATGAATATGATAAAAGAAATTTAAAAATAGCAAATTAAATTAATAAAAAATTCATCTTAATTTCTTTATAGAAAATATTAGAATTATAAAGAAAGAGAAAAAGAGAAAAAATATAAATAGAAATATTAAAATGGAGTTTAACCGTGTGAAGAAGGAAAACAAGGGTTGGGGATCAATTATTTTTTATTAATTTTTGAAAGGGGCACACATAAGTTAAGAGAATTTTTTCTCTCAAAAAATGTTTTCCTTTTGTTTCTAAAGGGGGCACATCTACTATGCTTCGTGAGCAGCGATGGTAAGAACACTGTTGCTACTCCTCCTCTTCCAATCTCTCCAAGTCTCCATTTGTTTTACCTCATTCTCGTTCCCCCTCCTCCACTTTTTCTGTCATTATTATTTTTTTTCTTTTTTTCTTTCTCCATCCCTGTTATAAAGAATATAGATAGTTGGCGATGGTTCATTGTAGTGTAGAAGAAGAAGAAGGCCAGTTGGCGATCCCTATCAGGTTGTTACAAGGACAGTTGATGATCATTGTTATAGAAGTAGAAGAAGAATAGAGTAGAAGGAGATGAGGGAAGAAGAAGAAGAAGAGAAAGAAAAGATGGGTATTTTGGGGAACAAAATATCGTCCACTACCTCTAAGTGTGTTTGGAGGTAACAAACCCGCTGAATGGTTTGGAGTTTTCAAACTCCAAAGGTTGAGTTCTGGTGTCCCAAGGTCGATCCAGCGCTACCAAATACCACCTTAGTTAGTTTTCTTTAACCACCTTTCCAAGACTCTGACTCTTTCTATTTCTTCTAGTTTAAAAAGTTTGAACTTTAGAAATATTTCAAAAATGGTGAATGGAATAGTAACACAAACCATTGAATCCTCCTTCCCTTTCCATTACTACGACGAAAACGTAATAGAATTTGAACTCTACGACACCGGACTGTACGATCAGTTCGAAGATGAGGATGAGGTCAGTGTAGATTTCTTGCTTTGCTCCTATAGTTTTCCTTTTTTGTTGCACAACCTAGGTGAATGATTTGTCACCCAAACTTGAAAGTTTTCATTAGGTAGGTGGGTTATATTTTGAAAATTTGAGGAACTGTAGAGGGCAAATTAGACATTTTTTTCTATTAGTGTTTAATGATGATATCAATTGTCATAAAACTTGGAGGGTATTTTAAGACAATATCTAAACAATAAGGGTAGAGTTAGCCAATTTCCTAAAACTATAGGGGTACTTTAAGAAAATTTCCCAAAACAAAAAAAAAACAGAAAAATTGTATATCATCTAATCATAACGAACCAAATCTAACTCATCCTCAACCTACAAGTCATCGTAAAGCCAATCTACTCTATCGTTGTGAAACCAGCGTCTTGCCACATCGTCTTCTTATCTCCATTCATCCTCGAACTTGCAAAAAGA